CTGAGCTGTAGCCAGAGACAGTCTGTTGAATCTTTGCTCGTTTTAGGGAAAGTACGAGTTTTTTGCGGAGTTTTTTGTTTTTTTTTTGGCGTGTTTTTAAATAGGGTACCCATTTTTCCAATTGGGTTATTTATTTTCTTTTTGTGCAACCGTCCGCGAAATGAGCTTCCACTGCCGTTTGCACCTTACGTACAAAATGTTTCAAATTCATACAGTTTTTCTGTAAATTTACATAATTTTTATAGTTGCACAAAAAATAGTGTGTATACCATGACCGCGAAACTTTTTAGAGTCCTCGAGATTATCTTACCCCTGCCGCAAGCGGCCTCGGCCATAACTTTTCCCTACGTTCGCTAAAAAGGTATTTTGCGGCCTTGGTATACAAATAACCATTCAAGAATATTCTTCCAGGAAGTAGTACCTACTATTGACTTGTCTATTAAAATGTGTAACCTTTTTTCTTCTTGTTTTGGGCTTTCCTGCAAAAAAATGACACCCGTAGCTGCGCTATAAACTAGTCCATGAACTTAGGATATGGATCTACAGTGCCTTACATATTGTTTCAGGATATTATTCATTGATATTACGACCCTTTTTGCTTCAGGTGAGTATTTTATCTTAATAAAAGTGCCGGCCTTTGTGACGGTTCTATTCGTTTATACGTAAAAAGTAATTCTTGAAGTTTTGCTCTAATATTCTCATCTTCCGTCTCCCTTCTATGTTGCAATATTGGAGGAGCTTTCGCATTCTCAGGATCCAGTCACTCTTTTATTTCGGGTTCCTTTGTCGTTTGTCGGATTGGTCAATATTGGTGGCAGTTGGTTTTCTTGGGAAGCATTAACTTTTTCAACCTCTACTCTCAGATTTTCGATTTCAGCTTCAGGGTATTGCTTTTCAACGCAGTACTAACCTGACTTGATCGGAGAATCTTTGTGTTGTGTGCTAGAAGGTATGCGCGTATCAGGTTAATATTTATGCCTCTGGTCTGGTACGCGCTCCCTGTCTTGCTGGGTTGCTGAGTAGTCTTCGACTTGAGTATATATCATTATTCCTGGGACATGGGCCTTGCGGTTCCATTTCGCAAAGAAGTGCCACTTGCTCTACTTGCATCTGCTACGTTCTGATCGGGTCTTCCAGAAGCAATAACGTGTACGAGCATTTCCCTATTGGCAAGGGGATGCGCAGGATAGAACTGACCAACCCGGGTTTTTGTTACTATTAATATAATTAAGAATATATAACCCAAAATTTAAATAATTCCTGTAATATTGCATAAGTCTTGCATGAAATCGATTTAAAGCATTCAACTCAAGGTCCCTATCATTTCTCATATAATCGTCCAGGGAATCGTCAATGGGGTCTGGTACCTGAAGCATTTTTTCCATAAAATACGTGATAAAATAATATATTTGATACCTATAAATTTTATAATTATGATACTGGTACCTCCTTACCACAACAGCCGACCTAAATTTAACTCCAGTTAGATTCCGTCTCACAAAATATTTATTTTCCTTCTTTAAAACCTGATAACCATATTGATTATCATAAAATCCAGCTTCTTTGCAACTTTTATGTCAGAATCTACATTCAGGTTTACATATCTGAATATAGATGGCCATAGCTGTTGGAGCTATAAAGCATTAACCAAAAGGTTTTTGTATCGAAGACTCTATATCTTCTGGACTACAGTGTAACATTTATTAGAACTAAAAATTAGTTATCAGAGAAAATTCCATTGCATTATCCTTATAAGTAGTTCCTCGGCTCCTGCGCAATCTGCATCCAACACAACTCCTGCTTTATTATAGGTAATTGAATACGATTGAACCATGGATATACAATTTTTTTTATAAATTTCACAGATATTACCATATCTTTTTCTTTGGTGAGATTCTTGAATATCTCAACTTGCCCTTTAAACAAATAAATTGAATATTACCGTCTGTTTTCTAAAATGTTCTCACCTTTCTTCTCACTAAAGTCAATATAATACCACATTATTATTTAAATGATTCCCTCTAAAAAAGCTCCAAGCTAATTCGGTATCCATAAATCCTCTAACCACAGCACAAAGACCGAGAAGCATCAATAGCAAAATTATGTGGAACATTTTTTTATTATACAGTAAAATGGTTCACATTTAGAGCAATTTTTTCATGATGTTTTAAGTTAAGCGGCATCATTAGAATTGGACAGGTTAATTGATTTTTTCCTAACCACAGAAAATTGTCTCTTGTGAATAAAAAATGGATTTATATGGGGGCAAAAAAAAAACCTTTAAAAGCAATAAACTTTTGAGAATTCTGAAACTCCAATAATATAATGAAGATAGTCAATAAGTGAAAACGAAGAAGGAAGTAGAAACTTAAGACAAAAAAATATTGTTCGAAAAGGTGGAGTAACAAAATAAAAATCCTTGATAATTTTCTACAAGTGGATAACAAATAAGTAACATAATTTAAATTTAAAATAAACAAGAAATACCTAAACCAAAAACCTAAACGAATCTGTATAGAATACCCTAATACGTGCGGAAACTCAGAAATCGAGAAGAAGCTGAAACAAATTACATACCTATATCTCCGATACTGATAGTTTTCGAGTAGGTAATTAAGCGCTAATTGTTGATGTAACTCCAAAGCCAGAAATATACGTACTTTTTATATAGACAGTTTTTGACTGATTGAAGCCACTGTTCTGATAATGTAAAGCGAAAATACAAATAATTGGGTAAACTTGCTGAGCAAAATCATTAAATTGTAGTTTATTTAAAATAGCAAAGATTATTCCTATTTCAACTGGCTAGTTTCGGTTAAAACGCTACTTTTTTGTTTCAATCACAGCCAATTAGGTGACTCTACCTTCTTGTGGCTAGAGGTTTTCAATTAAGCTGTCAATTTTCAATGGGCCTTTGATGTTATGGCTTGTTCTATAAGCATTTATCTAGATACCCGCTGGCCGATTGGATATCATGTCCCTACTAAAAAATATAGCAATATTTTTCAGTTTTTGCCTAATGGTACACAGTTTTATGGACGTTGACTTAGTATTGAGCTTTTCAAAAGCTAAACATTTAAAACATATTGTAGTTTTGACTTGTCTTTGTAAAAGAGGTGAGTATTTTCTTATACCTTGAAGTAAAACAAAAAATTTCGTCTCACTGGTTTTTAGGCCAAATTCAAGTTTTGGAAAACCTGATAAGAGACAAAAATATGCTAGTTTCCGTAAAGCATCTTAAAGATTTGCCTATTTTTGATACAATCGTATTTAACTATAAAAAAGTGGGAATCATATTAGATGGCGACTGTATCGGGGCTCAAGAGTTACTTTTAAGGGTATTGTTGGGTTATTTATTTATACACTCAAAATACATTGATATTTATTTTTAGTGTAAAAACTACAAAGTATTTGATACTAAAACTTTTTGGCTTATTCTTCACAAATCCGAAAATTATCAAAACCTCTTGAAACACGTAAATATAATGGTAGATTCTGACATAAAAGTTGCTTATCCAGCTAGTGGATCAGGAATTTCAACCAACAAATACCTAATTGACGATGTTTATAATCCTGCTTATGGAATTGGGGGAAAACTAAAATTTAAAGTAGCTGGATTTTATGATAGACAGTTTGGATACCAGGTAATCGAGAAAGAAAATAAATATTTTGTTAGAAGGAACCTGACTGGGATTAGATTCAAATCTCATGTTGTGGTAAGAACTTGTGATAATTAACTATTTTAAAAATAAATCTGTGTTCAATATTTTAGTTACCAGAACCTTTCAGAGGTTCCTTAGATAATTACCTGAAAAACGACCGAGATAGGCAAATAAATACCTTCAACCGTTTTCACGCGAGGCTTATGGATTATTGCAAAGATTATTACAATTACAGGCAAGAAATACACATTGGAATAAAGCTAAAATCTCATAGGCTGCATACTTTTTAGTGTTGAAATAGGTTACGTAAAGTCATGGGGATATCCTCAAGCCAATGGAACGGTGGATGGTTTATCCGGAGAACTTTGGTTACATGAGATCGATTTTGGTTCTTCACCTTTGTTTGTGAAAAAAGAACGAGCTAGGGTACTGAGTTTTGGAAGAAAAACTTGGGACTTGCGGTAGAGACCTACCTATGTATTTAAGATTTTTTAAAACTATCAATTTTTCACTTTATTCTAGAGGTGCTTTTTTTCTTAGGAATCCAAAATCAAAAAAATCCTACCAGATTTTCATTAAACCATTCTCTGTCACAATTTGGGTGTGTATTTTGATATTGGCACTTATAATGGTTAATTTTCAAAAAATTATTTTCTTACTGCATAAAAAAATTACCAAGAGGTTTTTGAATAATACGATTGTTGATTCTACATGGAGCTTTTGCATGTTTTGTATATTCTGTGCTTTTTGTCAGCAAGGTGAGTTCTAAAATCAATTTGGAACTTGAATTTAACGTATATTTGCAGGTATTTTATCTTATCCAAATTCTCTCAGTGGAAGAGCATTAGCCTTAACTACTCTGTTGCTAAGCCTATTGGTATATCAATTTTATTCTGCCACTTTAGTGTCTTTTTTGCTGAATGTACCAACAACTGTAATAAATACTGTACAAGATATTTTGGACAATCATTTTACCATTGGATGTGAGGATGTGTTGTTTATAAAAGACATTCTTAAGGTTAGAAAAACTAGGCTCTTGCAGTTTTATTCAAAACAAATCACTGTTTATTCTATCAATTTCAATCAATCATTTGCATATAGGCATAGTCATTGTTCTTACTTTTTTTATTGAATTGTCATAGGCAATCCGGTTATGGCATGTTAGTTGCAGCAAAAATCACACACACCACTATCAATAAGCGGCGTATACCAATTAGCTTAAAGTAGTTTTCACCAATCCAAATTGCTGTGGACTAGTTTCGAATTTTAATGAAAAATACTTCATTTTAGTCTTCTACTGACACCGTTACTCAAACAGTTTACCAAAAACTGCTAGAAATGACGGCGAAACATAAAGGCACCGGTTTCATGAAACCTGTGGATGGTCTGAATTTGGTCAAAAAAGGGCAGTACGCTTTTCAAGTTGAACTGGTGACAGGTTATCCAATAATCGAACGAGAATTTGAAGAAACAATGATTTGTGAGTTGAAGGAAATATCGATTTATGGAATGACGCAGTTGCATGCAAATTATCAGAAATGGTCGCCATTCAAGGATATTATGGATGTATGGTAAGAAACCTCCCTAAACTGATTTTTTTGTATAGGTACCTGTATAGTGGTAGTACAATGTTTTGATAGGAGGGGTTGGAAATCAAAAGAGTTATAAAAAATTTGGGAAGACACTGATCTTGAGCTTTTCTCTCGAAATGTACCTTACAATGCTGGAAACAAATTACGGCTAAATTGATACGGTTAGGAAATAGATATAGGGCGATTTTCAATTTTTTTCTCCAATTAGAAATTACAACGAATAAAACTAGATTTTTCAAAAAATTTCAAAGGAAATGTGATATATGCACGAGTTATTTTGTTAAAAAAAAAATAAGGTGCTCTCAGATTTTTGCGATATTGATGGTTTCCGATATAGCATTGGAACACGAATAGTCCGAGAGCTGGCAGTAAAAACAACTACCTCATAAGTTACCAAAGGGTTGAATCGACATGTCGGTACTACTTCGCATGGTGATTTCAAAACCGTCCGTCTGCCGGGCGTAAGTGGTCGCTTTATTAGATTTAATTTTTTCTGAAAAGTCAAAAAAACGCCATCAACTACCTCATAGGTTACCACTATTATTTTTGTGCCAAAATATTACCAAATATGTTACTAACCAAAGTTAAAAAAGACAACCCTGGTAGACGGTCGCATTCAAATAGCAGACGCGTTTAAATAGTCCAGAAAATGCGTGTTTAAAGCTGCCGTTTTCGTAGCCAAACTGCGATTTTTTTTTTCAACGGTTTTATATGTTTACGAGGGTGCTGAAACCGTATTTATGGTTTGATGCCTTGTAGGAGGCCGGCTTCATAGCCAAAAATGCAAAAAATCTCAATTTTTCAGCACTTTTTTCATTTTTGGCTTATATCTCAAAAACTATACGTTTTTTGAAGATAAGCGTTCAACACAAAATTGAAGTAAATATAATTTCCTACAAAATGCATTAGTCGTCTTTGATTTCATAATAAGCAATCTCCGCGCTAGTGCTAGTGAAAAACAATGTTTTTTTTTTGTATTTCCACAAAAACCTCTAAAACACCCACTTTCATCCCCTGCAACCCAAGAAATATAATGCTAACGAAATGATTGAAATACTTGCACAGGATCATCATTCCTTTGAGTGGATCCTCCATCTGAAAAACAAAATAAGGCAGATGATGAGTATACTATAGGTTTAGTTTTGGGTCGTCCGCTAGAAGGTCCAGGTGAAGGGTTTTAAGCAATCGAAGGTCTGGACAAAGAGTCAGCAACTGTGGGAGGTCCAGGCTGAATATACAATTGTGGCTGTTCTTCCAATGAAAAAAAATATTACCTACATTGAGATGTGTAATACTAGAGGAAACTAAGCGAAAATGCATGTAATGTTGCAAAATATTATATAAATTAATACCTTCTGTCTCTTCAACCGCTTCAAGCAATGAGACTGAAATTGGCTCATCATCGCGATCGCCTTCTGCATCATAACTATCGACGATGTTGGAGTGGAGCAGAACAGTCCTGTCCGCTTACACCCACATTGACCTAGGCACATGCCTTGCATTTGAAAGATACCTATAAGCTGGAGAAGTTTTTCGGTAGCTGGGGGTTTTGGTGTGGTAATCAGGAACAACCTATTTCTTGTCGACTTCCAACACCACTTTTCTGGATCCAAATAATTTCTCACCTTCCCCTGAAGCTGCCGCTCAACAACAAGCTCTTAGTGTTTTTTCATCAGGTGCAGCAGTGGATAGGAAACTTAAATTCAGAAAAGTAAAGTGGGGTACCTGAAAATTTCCTTCGGGCAGAATTTTAACGAAAAATGCCAAATTGTGATACAAGCATGAAATTTGACATAGTTATAAAAGACGATATTTTAAGAGATTTGACCCGATAAGCCACCCTCCTGGACCCGTAGGAAACCTGATACCGCCTTTTTTCCAAAATGGCGGACAAAAATGTCCTAAATTTTAGATTTTTTTTTAAATGGGCGATATTATACTCAATACTATAGAATTCGAGGATGGAAAAGTCAACTAAAATATTTTCAGGTTGATATGACCTTTACCCCTTGAAAATTGCTATATTATTTACAAAATGGAAATGTTTGCAGACTTTGCATTAAAAAATTTTCAAACTGCTACATTGAGAGAATTTGTAGCTAAAAAAAGAAACTAATTACCATTTGAAAAGTATAAAAAGCGTGTTTTCTGAAATTCAAAATGACTACGACGATCATGGGCGGCGCATGGATTTTTGATTATATATAATATAATATTTATAGAAATTTGTGAAAGTCAACTAAATGAGAATTTATGTTCTTCCAAATGATTTTACGGCAAATAAATTTAAAAAAAAACATTGTATCTAGTTGATATGATATTTTTAAGCAAAACATATCGATATTTTTGATACCCTATGTACTGCTAGTCTGTATCTGCACGTTGTTCAGAGAAAATGTAATATTTTTTGCGTTTTTATAAGGTTTTAGTTTTAGTGATAGGTAGGCATTTAGTGTAAAGGTGATATAGTCAGGTAAATTCTATATTGAAGCTCTTACCACAGTTTTCGTGATCGTAAAACATGAAAAAATTGGTAAATAGTCCTAAATAGAATGCGGCCTTCAACTTATTTTTATTGTTTAACTGAATTTGCATATTGTGGGTTTTAGATTTTGAAGACTGAAAATGTCAAAAACAAAACCAATTATAGCAGGAAAATCATCAATTGGGTAAACTGTTCCTCTACATTGGGAAAACTGTTGTATTTGCCAGGTAAAAGGAGGACGACTTAGAAACCCTCTAAATAATCCGGTAAAAAAATGTAATACAGGATATGAAACAATTGCTGTAAATCTGTCGAAACTGAGCGAATTGGGGCGGGTTCTTCCATCTGGACACGCAGCTGATTTTCTAAATATAAAGGAGATGGAATACAGACGACCTTCCAAAAACATAATGCAGTTTGGCACGCACAATTCATAGATATACTGGAGACCTATTTAAAAAAACTCCAGGAAGAAAACAGAAGTGGAAAAGACGAGCATTTTGGGAAAGAATACGAACCTTTATCCTCAAAAAAAAGTAGAAAAGAGCTCGCTGTGCGTGCTCTTTGGCTCTTTTGCTGGACATGTGCTTTTTGTGTAAAGCCCCAGGTTTTCCAAAAAATCTTTTACGATAATGCGCCACAGAAAATATTCCTAAAACAGCAACGTGCCATTCTAAACACGTAGTTATTTAATTCGCAAAGTTTATTCTGCATGGATATTAGCACGTCAGCAAACGCTAGATCTTCACACATCAATTCATCACTGCCTGATTCAGTTAACTCATTTTGTCTCACTTTGTTATAAAGTTTTACGAAGCATTTGGGATGATACTCGGTATATTGTGCCACCTTGTCTCCTTGAACTAGATGAGCCACCAACTTAGAATCCTCTAGTGCTGCAGCACACCTGAGATTTTTAGAAATTTTCTCTGTGGCGCATTTTCGTAGAGGATATTTTGGAAAACTAGGGCTTTACATAAAAAGCACATGTCCTGCAAAAAAGCCAAAAAGCACGCAGAGCGAGTTTTTTACTTCCTGTGACGATGAACGTTTACATTATTTCTCAAAATGGTCGGCTTTTTGACTTTCGTTTTCATCCTGGAGTTTTTTTTTACCTTAGTCTCGTTAATCGATCTCCAGTACATGAATTGTGGCATTCTGGATGCCAAACTGCATCATTTTTTTAGAAGGTCGACTGTATTAAATCTCTTAGATTTTTTGACCGGATTATATAGAGGCTTCTAAATTGTCCTATTTGTCCTCCTTTTACCTGGAAAATACAACGGTTTTCCTTATGTACATCAGGAACAGTTTGCCCGATTGATGATTTACCTGCGATAATTGGTTTTGGTTTTGACATATAAGTCTCCAAAATCTAAAACCCCCCAGATTAAAGGCCACATTTTATTTACAATTTTCTTATGATTTACGATCACGAAAACTGTGGTATAAGAGCTTTAATACAGAATTTACCTGACTATCAACTAGATACAATGTTTTTTTTTTATTTATTTGCCGTGAAATCATTTGCAAGACCATAAATTCTCATTCAGTTGACTTTAACAAACTTCTATAGATTTTAAAAAATATTTCAAAAACACGCTTTTTAAATGTTAATTACTTTTTTTTTTGCTACAAATTCTCTCACGGTAGCAGTTTGAAAAATTTTTAATGCAAAGTCTGCAAACATTTTCATTTTCTAAATAATATAGCAAATTTCAAGGTCTGTAAAGATCATTTCGACCTGGAAATATTTCAGTTGAATTCTCCATCCTCGATTTCTATGGTATAGAGTATAATATCTATCTATTTACATAAGGGACAACATTGATTTCAAGTTTGTGGAAAAGTCGGATCAAACGGATCTCATAAATTGGATTTGCATAACAATAGGAGACAATGTTAAAGTAAGTGCTATATATAAACCGCCATCATATTCTGTAACTGACTTTTTAACAAAATTGGAGACTATACTCAATAAATATCCAAAAAAGCACCTGCTCCTTGGTGACTTTAACATTAATCTATTGAATAATAGGGCCAGTGATGTAATCAATTACATGAATACTCTAGCATTAAATAATTATGGAGTAATTAACAAAATCGCTGAAGAGCAGGCCACCCATATCACGAATACTGCAAAAACAATTATTGATCATATAATTTTAGACAAGGGGATTATAGGCTGCAGCCCAATTAAGGTTGAAGATTATTATCTCTCAGATCATAAGTCACTGTCCTTTTCTATAAAAGTACAGGTACAAAAATTTAAACCTAAAGTGCATCATGAAATAAAAATATTAAATCACACAAAATTTAAACAAACATTTAGAGAGAAAACAGAACGTAAAAAACTCAATTCATTTCAAGATCTAATAAATTTAATTGTAACATGCAAGGAAGATTGTGAGTACACTAAAAAGATTAAAATTAGGAAAAATAACACATGGATAAATAATGAATTAATTCAAATGATCAAAGAAAGAGATAATTT